ACTTGAATCAGCACCACTACTGCCTTTTTCTAAGTGGTTTATTGGAGATAAGAGTCTCCTGGACTTTCCTGTGGGGGCTGGCTTTGAACTGTGATCCTCAGATCTCAGTCTCCTGAATAACTAGGATAATAGGCATGTGTCACAAGCACCAAGGTTGTGTTTTGTTGTTGTTGTTGTTTTAAATTCTCTTCTTACCCTACTCAGCCTTTTTTCTTGCCTGATGGGAGCAATGGGGGTGAGTAGGCAGGGTATGGCAACACTGATAAACTAATAATAGATAATGTGTTTAGCTGGAATAAATCCTCTGGAGTTTGGGGTTCATCAGTGTACCATTATGAAGCAACAAAGGAAAGTGTAGTTTAGCTGAGGATGCCAATGGGGAGAAATATTTTGCCTCTAGTGCTGCTCTTTTATGTCTTGGTGCAGGATGAAATGTGAGCTACACTTGTGGACAGGGGGGTCTGGATTATGAATTTGTATAGGATGGAGTGTGGGGAAGAGCTCTGGACTGGGGGGACAGAGCTAGTGGGTATATTGTTTTTGTAATTTAAAAAATCTGTATGAAGGAAATTGCTGATTTGGCCCTCACCTATATTCCTAGCTACTCAGGAGTCTGAGCTCTACAGGTTTGTAACTTGCTAGACTCCATTTCTGTAACCAACAAAAGAAAAGCTGGGCTGGGCTGGGCTGGGCTGGAGTGATGGCTTGCAGCTTTGAGATGATGACATCGCATGCCATTTCACATTTATCTCTATCTGTAGGTGCTAAAGTCAGAGCAGAAATTTATGAAGCATTTGAAAACATCTACCCCATCCTAAAGGGATTCAGGAAGACCACGTAGTAGCTGCCCACTTACTCCTGCCTTCCTCACCCACTTGTTTTTTTAAACAAATCATTTTTGGTACCTCTGATGGTGCAGTTGTGAGAAGATGGACACTCAGTTACAGGTTGCAGCACCAGGCGATGTCCTCTTCGGTGTACCACTGCAGGTTGCTGGGAAGGTTACTTTTTCCACACTGAGATCACCCCGCAGCATTACTGTGAGTTGCTCATACTGTGCTGCTATTTGGGCAGCGTTGCCCATTTATTTATATTTTAAACACTGCTGTTGACAAGTTGGTTGGTTAAAGGGACAGACTTTTAAGTGTTCAAGACACCTGTACAGTTGAAGTTTTTAATTTTTCCCCATAAGCCACAGGTTTTATATTTCTAACAGAAAAGAATCTTTTTTAAAATTGTTGTTTTTCTAATTTGTAATTCTTAGGGGTTATTTTTGTGCCAGACACATTCCACCTTTCCAGTATTGCAGGACAGAATAGCTGTATTAATGAAAGCAAATGGCTGTACATATGTTTCTTTCTTCACATACTCTGTATAAGAAAAAATGCAGTTTACAAAAGTGTTAGATTGTTCTTATATCTTTTAAGAGTCATGTGACCATACTGTTAAAAAATTGTATTTTAGATATAATGTCTGAAACCATTTTGATGTTTGTCATTTGTTTTGGTCAACATTTCATTGTACATTTGCCGTGAATACGGACATACACCTGAAAACATACAAAAATGATCACCATTACGACTACCCTGCCTTGAGTATCTCTTGCCTCCTCAGTACCTCACAGTGCTTGGGACCCTCACCAACCAATTAGGTTTGTCCCACTATTTTATTTTTTTGGGGTCCGGTCATGGGCCTGAACTCTGGGCCTGGGCGCTGTCCCTCAGCTCTTCAGCTCAAGGCTAGCGCTCTACCACTTGAGCCACAGCGCCACTTTTGGCTTTTTTCTTTTTGCTTATGTGGTGCTGAGGAATCGAACCCAGGGCCTCATTCATGTAAGGCAAATGCTCTACCACTGAGTCACCTTCCCAGCCCCTTGTCCCACTTTTAGAGTAAAGAGCTTAGGCTCCCACTAGACTTGGCATGTTTTATAGCTATGCTAAGAGTCAAAAAATAATCTGAGTCTTCTCTGTGAAAGCTGATGTCCTGTTGACAGACTGCAGGTTCTCTGGTATAATATTTTGGTGAAGGCTGTTTTTCCCATGCAATAACAAGTAGGCATTTACAAGTTCTTAGGTTTCATTCTGTTTTTTTTGGGTCCGGTTGTGGGGCCTGAACTCTGGGCCTGGGCGCTGTCCCTCAGCTCTTCAGCTCAAGGCTAGCGCTCTACCACTTGAGCCACAGCGCCACTTCCGGCTTTTTTTTCTTTTTGCTTATGTGGTGCTGAGGAATCGAGCCCAGGGCCTCAGGCATGCAAGGCAAGGGCTCTACCACTGAGCCATTAGGTTTCATTCTTCAGGTGCTTTTTGTCCTTTTTGATTATAAAAGCAGGTTTTGTTTTGTTTGTTTCACTCAGAGGTTTATAATCAGAAGGAAGTAGTATTTGTCTCCCTCTTGCCTGCTTCCCAGGTTAATGTCCAGAGTAGTGTGTGTCTTTGGTACTCCTCCCTCTTCTCCCCCCAGAGGAACATTTGGTCGTGTTTTGTGGCTTGTTGTTTTCAGTCTCAGTTGTATCTCCACGATCTGGATACAGCATTCTCTTAGGGGCCTTTATTGAACCACTCCTTTAGTGATGACCATTTGTGTTTTCCTTGTTTTCTAAAGCAAATTCTTTTATAACCAATAGAGTGTACACCACGAAAGGAAAGGCCTCAACCTTGTCCCTCTAGGTTCTGAATAAATCAACGCCTTCCATGTCAAACCCTCCCACTTAGACTCTGACTAGGAGCACAGTCTCCTGACTTCTCAAAAGAAAGTCACTGTATCATTAGTGGGCATTGCTAGGCTACAGAACTTGCTTTGCATCAGCCACTGTCTAGTCCCAGGACCCCAGTTAGGGGCTTAGCAGGAGACCACAGAGAGCAGCTCATGATTGGTCAGTCAGCTGTTGCTCTGGTGAACGGAAGGAACTGTGTTGGTTTGGTTTTTGCATCTCCTTCCCTTAGGTGCTGACAACTCTCACCAGATGACTCAGACCAGGTACCCTAGTGTGGTACCTGAAAAATGCACAACACGGTGCCTTTCCCAGTGCTTGTTCAAGATCTTATACATGCTCAAACCACTTTCCTTAACTGTCTTCTGCCTCTTTGCTGAGACTCTAAGCTCCAGACAGTGGGTGCCACTTCTTACCCTTCACTTGGTCCCAAGTCTAGGACAGCACCTGGCACAAAGAAAAGGACTCTGTAAATACCTGCTGAATAACTCAACACATCTTTCCTTACTGCTCATTTCTTCTGCCATTGGCATTTTCTCCAGTGCTCTCTGCAGAGAGCATCCTTTTGTGTATTTTAGGTGAGTACAGGTATTTCCCTAGAGATCTTTTAGAAGAGGAATAATACCGGTGTATATAAGAGGCCATTTAAAACTTCTTTTTGGATAGAATTTATATGAGGTTTTGTCTTTAAGGTAACAGTATGCGAGGTACCATTTTTCTCATTTCCTAGTTACTGAGGCAATAATGTATAGCTTACTTGAAAGACATCCCTACATTGTTTACTTCTCTCCAAGAAAGCATTGTCTTTCTATATAAGTAGGTGTTCTATATTCTTCAGAAAAGTTTATTTTTTCACGTAATGCCCTTAAAATTTATAAGCTAGTTAGTTGTATTTCATTAGTGGAGTATTTCACATAATTCTTATTCCTCATGTTTACTGTATTCTTGAGTTCTAGTCATGTAATTGCAAATAGTTTTACATTTTCTTTTCCAATATTTTTCTTTATTTGAAAAATAAAAGTGGAAGTGGGATATCTCATGAACTTTTTTGTCAGGGCTGGCCTCAAACCACAATCCTCTTTATGAGCCTCCCAAATAGCTAGGATCTCCAGGATGACGACACTAGTGTCTGGCTTCTCTACTTCTTTTCCCCATCTCAGTGGCTGGGATTTTAGACCAGGCTAGCCTCAACCTTGTGAACTTCCTGCGTTAGCCTTCTATGTGGTGAGATAACATACCAAATTTACAAAATGTTTTCTCTGAACTATAAAATACAGCACATGCAGCAATGCTTAGCTAAAAGTAGTACTCAGAGGCAGCCTTCAGGTCCTAAGATACTCTTGGTGCTCACCACCAGTCACACCTCACAAAAGCCATAATCCTAGTTACATTATTTACAGGTTGAGCTCTCATTTAAAAGTGATTGTTTTAACATTTAAGTTCCGCTTCCTTCTTTCCTCTGGAGTCATGGACCACATGACTTAGGCAGCTTTTTTGTCGGAATTTGCTAGCTACAAACGCATGTGGTTTATTTTACATTAGCTTCAATATTTTGCTTAAAACAACTCTACATAGGTAAATAAGCACTGAGCTTTTTGTTTTCTGTGCCAGTATTGGGGCTCAAATTTGGGCCTGGGCTCTGTGCCCCTAGTGTTTTTTGTTCAAGGCTGGCACTAGCACTATACCACTTGAGCCACAGTACCACTTTCTGCTTTCTTGGGTCAATTAGATGTAAGGGTCTCATAGACTTTGATCTTCAGATCTCAGCATCCTGAGTAGCTATGATTACTGGCATGTGACTGGCTTAATGCTCTTGCTTTTCAAGGTAAAATATTTCACAAGTTCATACTGATATAGCCATTAGAATCCAGGGTACAAGCATACTGCAGCCTTACCTTTCAATCTTTAAGCAAGACGCCCAGTTCTGATGTAGGGTGCTTTTTTTTTAAATCCCCATTAACCTGCCATTTCCTCTGATTTTGCCATCTCTGGTATTGCTCCTTTAGGTACTAGGTATCCTTATTTATCTTATCATTCACCTAAGAAGGTACAATATTTTTCTCATTTTCAGGCATTAGCAAGATGTCTGGTTGAGTTCTTTTAACTAAACACCTGTTTACAAATTTAGGGGGGAAAGATTGAATTGTTTTGAGTTCATTACACACAGTTCATTTTTGTTATAGAAAAATATAAACATGTATGTAAAAAGACCATGTCACTTGGTCCCATCATTCATAGGTAACCAGTTTGTGTATCTTTTCAGATTTATACATATTTATGTTTATGTAAATTTATACACATACATATTTATTTCCAAAAAAGAAACACACCATACCATCAATACTATAATGCTATCCTGATGTTCATTTAGACATTATTTGGTGTCCATTAGAACAATCTCCTTCCACTGTGGACATGGAAACTTAGTTTTGTTGTATTAACGTAAAAAGACATAAATAATGCCTCAAGCAGTGTTTTTGTGCCTCCATCTCTGGAACATGAGCTAAAAGTCCTTGAGATGGGGGTGTTAAGACATAAGGCTTGTTGTCAGGGTGTGTCTGTTATATCCTGCTTCCACACAAATTCCTCCGTGTAGCCAGGGCCCAAGTTACAGTTCTCAGTACAGGTGTAGACAGCCAGGACACCCCAGTCAACGCTCTTGCCCAGTCTGTCTGCCTTTAGGTGGTTCAGCAGCTGTGGCATGACCTGAGGAGAGAATGAAAGGGAACATGGCTTCAACATTATAGCTACCTTCCCCACTACCGGCTACGAAGTTTAATTCTGATGTCTGTAAACACAGAAGGGTGATTGATTATATACTGAAACAGTCCCAATTTAAGACCATACCTGGAATTCAAATATTCTCTTGGCACCACAGGGACAATGTGGAATATCCTTTTCTTGAGGTATGTTTTCACCAGAAATCCACATTGGCTCAACACCTCTGCCATAACGGAGAATCTAAAATAAAATTAAAACTATATCTGAACATCAACAACTCACCCAGGAGTTTCCAGTGGTAATGTAAAATGGTCATTTAGAGAAATTGTATACATGCCCTTATATTTGATAGAGCACCTTTCTCAATCTCCCCCAAAGCTATTACTTCATCTTTTTCTTTTTTTTCCCCTTTGGTCATGGGGCTTGAACTCTGGGTTCTGTCCCTCAGCTCTTCAGCTCAAGGCTAGTGCTCTACCATTTGAGCCACAGCACCCCTTCCGGCTGTTGAGGAATCGAACCCAGGGCCTCATGCATGCAAGGCAAGCACTCTACAACTGAGCCACCTTCCCAGCCCCCCCACTTCTTTTTCTTAAACTGTCAGAACCTTTATTAATCCTATCAGTATATTGATAAAGGACTGCTATAACTCCGTTACCAGATTCCTCATAAAAAATGATTTTAAAACCAGATGGTAGCTCACGCCTGTAATCCTAGCTACTAAGGAGGCTGAGATCTGAGGATCCTGGTTCAAAGCCAGCCCTGGCAGGAAAGTCTGTGAGGACTCTTATTTCCAATAAACCACTAGGAAACCGGAAGTGGTGCTGTGGCTCAAGCAGTAGAGCGTTCACGCAGGAACAGCACCCAAGCCCAGAGCTCAAGCCCCATGACAGACCAAACAAAAAAAAGATTTTAAGTTAGTACTTACCACATACAAAGAACCTTAAATACTTTGGTAGGGGCAAATACCTACTGAAACATGGTGTTTACATAAAACTTACAGATAGATTATTATAATTTTCTTCCTATAACAAGGGAGTTGTGTGTTCCTGGTTAAAAACATTATATGCTAAAGGGGGAAAAAACAAACCAACCTTAGTGTTTAGGACATAACTTTCCTGTAAATCCCTAGATACTAATGTGCCCAATGACTTAAAAAAAATTGGCCGAGTAATCTTTTGTGACTTGTTTATGGGCCTTCTATCCTGATAGTCTTCCCTAAAGCCCCCAGCTTACTGCTTAGAGCACAGCTGCAACAGTCTCACCACTACTTATTAATGGGGATGGGCTCTTATCTTACCCTCCAGGCTTGCCACAAAATGAGAGCCAAGGAATTTGTTTCCTGAATAGCTGGGACTACATACCCAGTCCTAAATACTTTCTTTAGTAAATAAATCCTATTTGATACTCCATGTATTCCCTTCAGTCTTTCAATATGGTACCTGTCTTTTCAGAGAAATCCTGTAACAGTATTTTTTTAAAAGCCTGCTCTTAGAGGCTCCAAAGGAAAAGAAGAGCTCTACCAAAAAGGATTATTTCTTAGGGATTTTATTCTGAAAACTGGTCTGAAAAGAACACAATGAAGAGGTGTAAGTTCTATTTTACCTGCTCTGGTTCAAGGGCTATCTGCGTTTTAAAGTTCTGGAAAACTTGATCTTCCCTAGATTCATGCTTTGCCATAGAATCTAGTTCTTCCTCAAGTGCTTCACCTGAAAAAGCAACATCATATGTTTGGAGAACAGAAAACATCCCTACAACTTGACAATTTACAAGGTTTTTCTTATTTATTCACCTAGCGAAGTGTGTGCTTATTTCCAGGTCTTCCAGGAAGCATATATAACTACTATGCATCCACTCCAAAGACTCAAATTAAAAGATGAACCCAAGAATGAAAATAGGGAAAATATAGCATTTACACAGTATTGTGTTGTAATAAGTAACTTGGGAATTTTTTTGTTGTTGGTTGTGGGGCTTTAACTCAGGGCCTGGCGCTGTCCCTCAGCTCTTCAACTCAAGGCTAGTGCTATACACTTGAGCCAAAGCGCCCCTTCTGGTTTTCTGGTGGTTTACTGGAGATTAGAGTCTCACCGACTTTCCCTGCTCAGCCTGGCTTTGTACCACGATCCTCTCTTGAGTAGCTAGCTAGGATTACAGACCTGAGCTACCAGTGTCTGGTGGCAAAGTTTTTAATACATGTGTCAAGAATGAATTCTTTAATAGTGACTAGTAGTTTAAACTTTCGTCAGGATTTCAGATACCTAAAAGGAGTTTAGACATCTTTATTGAAGAGATAGTATATTTAAAATTCCGAAAATCATACCTTAGAGAAAATACTTCTTTAAAGCTGCATCTTCCATGTAACACTGCATGTATACATTTCACTGTGTGTGTGTGTGTGTGAGTGTGTGTGTGTGAGTGTGTGTGTGTGTATTTCCCCCTGCCCCAAGTCTTGGGGCTTGAACTCAGGATCTAGGCACTGTCCCTGAGCTTTTTTTGCTCAAAGCTAGCACTCTACCACTTGAACCATAGTGCCACTTTCAGCGTTTTCGGTTTATGTGGTACTGAGGAATCGATCCCAGGGCTTCATGCATGCTAGGCAAGCACTCTACCACCAAGCCACATTCCAACCCCCTAAACATATTTTTGAGTGAAGGAAACAAAAAAAAAAACCCTAGCTAAAAATTCAAAGACCTAATCAGTACCTTTTTTTGAATAGGAGTTGATCCCTATAATTCAGGGAATGATGGTGGGTCAAATGACTTAGGGATTATTCTGTCAATGGTTATGTAAGTTGAGACTCTGAAAGGCAGTGACCACTATTTTTTAAGCTCTCATTCTGAAGGGATGTATACTTTCAGGAATGAACTGTAGCTTTCTTAGTAAATATAGACAATTTAGGAGAAAACATGGTAAATTTCTGCTTGGGACTTACTATTTTCTCAATAACTATGAACATCTTGCCTAGAGTATACTAGAGTCAGGGAGACTACCCAAAACTTTTTTTTGGGTTTTTGCTGTTTTTTGCTTTTTTTTTTTTTTGCCAGTCTACCACTTAAGCCACACAGTACCACCACAGTACCACTTCTGGCTTTTCTTCTGTTTATGTGGGACTGAGGAACCTAACCCAGGGCTTCAAGCATGCTAGGTGAGCACTCTACCACTAAGCCAGATTTCCAGCCCTACCAAAAACTTTTGCACTTGGATTTTAGGACTTAACCTTTCTTTAAAAAAAAAAAAAAAGAACTGGTGGCTTATGCCTGTAATCCTATCTACTCAGGAGGCTGAGCTCTGAGGATCATAGTTCAAAACCAGCCAAGGCAGGAAAGTCTGTGAGGCTCATTTCCAATTAACCCACTGTAAAACCAGAAGTGGTGCTGTGGCTTAAAGTGGTAGAGTGCTAGTCCTGAGCTAAGAAACTCAGGGACAGCATCCAGGAACAGTTCAAGCCCCATCACTGACTGACCGCCCCCACCACACACACTTAAATAAACAAAAAAAAAGTACAATCAGATTATTTATACCAAAATGTCTTTTCTCTGATCACAAACAATAATAGGTGTCTCTTATGATGATGTACAAGGAATTAATGCAAATAAACTTCACAACATTAAAAAAGGAAGGACTCAAGGGCTCAAGACTATTTCCAGCATATCACTAGACTCCTTATTTATGTTTTACACATTTCTTTTCCCAGCTTGCATTCAACCCAGTCCATTATTCAATGTTTATTTCTTGCTCTATTGTCATATTTGGATCACTGTTGACCCAACACACTAAATGGCTGTCAGTACAGCCTTTTAGTCCTGGTATTGTGAAGTCAGCACAGTTGCTTAGGCCTATAATCCCAGCTACTAAGAAGACTGATGTTGGGAGGATTGGACTTAAGAGATTGGCTTGAGTTAAACAACAACAACAATATCCTATTAACAAATAGTGGGGGCAGGGTGTATGTAGTACCTGTCTGTATTTCCATTGTGTGGGGGGCTTAGACTGGGAGAATCATGATTTTAAGACAGCCTGGGTAAAATTGCACAGGATTCTCATCTCAATTTAAAAAACAGTGTCACATGCTTGTCATTCTTGCTATTGCAGGAAGCAGAAATAAATAGACTCAGGCTACTAGCCTGAGGAAAAACCAAGACTAACTCTAAATTTCAGAGTAAAAGGGATTGAGGCTTACCATTAGAGTACCCAATTAGCAAATACAAAATTCAAATCCCCACCAACACACACACACACACACTCTCTCTATTTTACAAATATCTTGAGTTGACATGAAATAACATTTCACCATTGGGAAGACATTCAGTAATGGCACTTCACTGGCAAAGCCAGAACGGATTGAGGAACCCTAAATATCTTTTTTTTTTTTTTTCCTAAATATCTTTATGATGGTCTGTCAAGTGTATTAGCAAACAGGCCATGAGATGTGCCTTCAGGTTCTACTGCTTCCTACTGCCGCCAACCTTTTCATCTAGGTGAAACTAAGTGATAGCTAGCACACAGCTATATTAGCATTTACTGTAGTGAATTACCAAGTACTAATGATCAGTTTCAAGTAAGATTTCAAGACCCCTAACTTACTATGTTGTATCCTAATCATATTATTATGAATAATTCACTTTCACTCCTGAAAGACAAAATTTGAGATGATTACTGAAGTTTTTAGAAAGTAGTATCTGGAACACAGCATGAACTTATTTGGTGTGGTTTATTTATTGTTTTTGCCAGTCCTGGGGCTTGCAACTCAGAGTCTGGGCACTGTCCCTGAGCTTTTTGCTCAAGGCTAGCACTCCACCACTTGAGCCACAGGACCACTTCTGGTTTTTTCTGTGTATGTGGTGCTGGGACAGGGCTTCATGCATGCTAGGCAAGCACTCTTCAACTGAGCCACATTCCAGCCCTTGGTGTGGTTTAATAGCTGCACAGTATTTCTGTTAATGATCAAACTGCTTTGTGCCAATAGGAGTCTTGTCATATTAGTTGTTGATTCACTTTGGCAAAAGATCTTAATAATCATGAGTTTCCTTGCTCTCTGGATGAACATGTTCCAACATTAAACAGTTACTTGCCAGTTCTGCATACAACCACTTCTCCAATAACATTGGAATTCACTTGATAAATGGTAGTTACACCTCAGGAATACTTATTGAGTTATTATTTCTGAGCCTTTGCAGTGGATTAATTACATCATTAATTTACACTCACACTTCCCAATATAAATTCAGAGGTACGTCTTATGTACGTATACTATTCTCGTCTGCCAACGTATCAACATAATGACTCGTTTACTGTATTCCCAGATGTACAACCACCTCAAAATAACAATAGTTGTAGCGTGTTAAATGAAAACGCTCACAAGTCCTCTTCCTTTCAATACTGTGGGTCAATTCTTCTGGGGACACACTATCAAGTCACTATGTTTTAAAGCTACTAAGACTTGGTTTGTTGAATTACTCAGCAGTTATGTGCTTTTTTATTACTTATGGCTGTTTTCACAAATGTTATGATTCTATGGATGCTAATGTGACTCTAGTCATACCTACCTAAAATAACATGCCAAGTCCCACCTTTGCCTTCCCATTCTCTAATGCTGTCTCAAAGCATTTTCATTTATCATTTCTGTAAACATGAGCAACAGTATACACACATACTAGTTTTCACATATAGGCCCCTTTAGGTGGTTACCACAGAGTATTTAACTCCTCTTAAAGACAAACTCTATGTGGGCTCCTCCCTTACACTAAGTAATGGGGTATGGTTGGCTTTCTGCTGTGTGTCCTCTTACCAAGCAAGATTTTCAAACTTATTCTTTCATCTATTGAGTTGAATGGACTACAAATCAGTAAGCTGACAATCTTAGTTTTCACTATTTTGAGCTGTTTGGATGATAAGAATGCTAACTGAATGAATGGGTTAACCCACTGATGAACCCATTAATGAGCTCACAGCTCAACAGCATTTTAGGAGGTGAGAGGTCTGTTTGGATGAAGTAGGTCACCAAAGGCCCCTGTTTCAATGGTATGCCCATTCCCTCTGTGGCTCTCTTGCTTCCTGGGCAAGATTTGGTAAGCTAATCTGCTGTGCCACAAACTTATGCTACGTGATATTCTGCTTTATGACAGGCTTGCACTAATGGAGCAAGTGAACCAAGAGCTGAAAACTTCCAAAACCAAGACCAATAATACAAATCTTTCCCCCTTTATCTTTCAAGTTTGGTCAAACACTCTAAGACTAACACTGACCCCTTACCCATACTTCCTGTAATCTCAGAGTCATCTTCTTTATCCACAACTTCAGGCATAATCTCATCTTCTGTTTCTATTACAATTTCAAATTCTGGAAAAAGGAAGTTATGGTCGGGAACTGTATGGTCCAAATTATCTGAAATAAAAAGTTACCATAATCATCACTAAACCCTTAGTTTTGAAGATGTTCTAAGATTTTCCCATTTCTAAAGTGTAGCCATGTTTTGCATGACATTCGTTCAATCCATATATTCACACAAACCTAGATGGTGCAGGTCAGTCAGTCACAAAGCCTCACAACAAAATCAGGAGACAAGATAAAGTACTGCATACACAGGCTGCTGCCAGTGTAACATCATTTTACAGTTTTTTCTGCTTAATAGGATTGTATTCTAACCATAAAAAATGGTTATCACAGCTGCTTACTAAGTATTATATACTACATATTGTGTGTGCTTAAAAAAAAAAATTGGCGGAGGGGGGGGGGGGGGGAATGGGGGCAGTCCCTGGGCTTGATCTGAGGGCCTGCATGCTGTCCTGGAGCTTTTGTGCTCAAGACTAGCGCTTGCTCTACAACTTCTACAACTTGAGCCACAGCTCTATTTTTAGCTTTTTGGTGGCTTATTGTAGACAAAAGCTCACATTTTCCTGCCTGAGCTGGCTTTCAACCAAAATCCTCAGCTCTCAGGACTTCAGGTGTGAGCCATTGAAACCTGGCCTATTAAGGTGTTCACATCATCAGTTAATACAACCTCAACATCCGAATTCATGAATCGCTGAGATGGAAAAGAGAGGAAGAGAAAGACAACAGACAGGACTTACCTAGCTGTGCACAAGCCTGCTTATGTCCCAATCTCCAGTCTAGCATCTGATGCTCCTTACTGCAGTAATGTGCCTGGTGGCATCTTGAACATGTTTTAGGACCTAAACAGCCACAAACCCTGCAGAGATGAGCTCCAGACTTAAGTTGGAGATGCAAAGATTCGCCTTCTTTAGGAGGGTTCTCAGAAGGTGGCTCATATGAATAAAATTCATTTTTCCTGGGTAACTGGTTCCTGAAAACTAAGAATAAGAAGAAACATTTTCAACGAAAGGAAATAATTCAGTACTTGAGTCTCCCTCTATGGCACCCTTGGTAAAATGCAAGGACACCCTCTCATGCATCTGTTTTCTTTTTTTTTTGGTCGGTCATGGGTCTTGAACTCTGGGCCTGGGCGCTCTACCGCTTGAGCCACAGCGCCACTTCCGGTTTTCTGGTGGCTTACTGGACTTTCCTGCCCGCGATCCTCAGGTCTCAGCGTCCTGAGTAGCTAGGGTGGCCGGCGGGAGCCACGTGCGGCGCCGGGCCGCATGAGGAGCTGTTCAGACCCGAGTCCTGCCCACTGCTGGTGCGGCACGAGCTGCCCCTAGGCCCGGGGCCCGGTGCGGCCCGCCCGCGTGCGCCCCGCGCCCCTCCCGCCCACCACCAGCCGCCCGCACCTCGAAGACCCGAGCAGCACGGCGGCTCGCGGCAGCAGAACAGGAAGAGGCCGCGGTGGAAGGCGTCGGGCCGGCCCGGCAGCGGCGCGTACACCTGCAGCAGGAAGGCGAGCGGCCGGCCGCACCGCGGGCAGGACAGAGCTCCGGGCCCCGGCAGCCCGGCCGCGCCCAGCCACGCCGGCCGGCCCCCCACCTTGCTGGGGAACTGCTCGCTGCGGAGCCTCCAGGCCGGCGCCGGCTCCGCGAAGCCCAGCTCCACCCTCCCGGGCCGGGGAGCCGCGGCGGGGCCGCCGGCCGCCTCAGCCATCACCGACCCGGCCGGAAGACGGCGGGCGGGACCGGAAGGCGGGGGGCGGGACCGAGGAAGAGGCAGGAACCGACGAGCGGAGCCGAGAGGAGCGCTGCGGGAAAGCGAGATAAAAACTCCGCACAAAAGCCCGCCTCCTGCCGCGTTGCCCCTCGGCCCTGCGGTGACGGCTCGGCGGCTTTCAGGCCTGGGAGGCGGGAGCTCCGGGGAAGGCCTGCGTGTCACGTCCGGAGGGGCGTGTGGGTGCGGAGCCCGCGCCCGGCCCGCCCGGCTCCGCCCCGCGCCCGGCCCGCCCGGCTCCGCCCCGCGCCCGCCCCGCCCGGCTCCGCCCCGCGCCCTCCCCGCCCGGCCCCGCCCCGGCCCGCCCCGGCCCGCCCCGCCAGGCTCCGCCCCGCCCCGCGCCCTCCCCGCCCGGCCCCGCCCCGCCCCGGCCCCTCCGCCCGCCCCGCCAGGCTCCGCCCCGCCCCGCCCCGCCCCGCGCCCTCCCCGCCCGGCCCCGCCCCGCGCCCTCCCCGCCCGGCCCCGTCCCGCGCCCTCCACCACCGGCCCCGCCCCGCGCCCGGCCCGCCCGGACCCTCCGCCCGCCCCGCCCGGCACCGCCCCGCCCCGCGCCCGGCCCCGCCCCGCGCCCGGCCCCGCCCCTGCCCGGCCCCGCCCCGCGCCCGGCCCCGCCCCTGCCCGGCCCCGCCCCGCGGCCGCCCGGCCCCGCCCCGCCCCGCGCCCGGCCCCGCCCCTGCCCGGCCCCGCCCCGCGCCCGGCCCCGCCCCGCGCCCGGCCCCGCCCCGCGCCCGGCCCCGCCCCTGCCCGGCCCCGCCCCTGCCCGCCCCTGCCCGGCCCCGCCCCTGCCCGGCCCCGCCCCTGCCCGGCCCCGCCCCGCGGCCGCCCGGCTCCCGCCCCGACGCGGCCCGACTGCGTGCGGGGCGGCTGAGGGGAAGGCGACCGAGGCCCCCCACGGAAGCCGGGAAGACGCAGAAGGTGCCGGCTCGTGGGCGCAGCAGGCGCGGACGCGGGGCGGCCGGCCTCCTCGCGGCCGGCCCCAGCCAAGGCAGAACCGTCTCTTTGGGGACGGGGTCGAGCTCTCCGAACTGGGGGCCGTAAGCCGGTTTTGTCCTGTCTGTCCCCAGCAGCTCCCGGGTGCCCCTAGCACCGGCCGACCCTCCCTGTCCGCCGCCGCAGGTCGCCTTGTCCACCTGCGAAGTGGGCGCTGCCCTGCCGCGGCTGCCGCTGGGCCCGGCCACGCCACCCTGGTCCGCGCCCCGCGGGGAGCGTCCCGACTCCGGCCTCCTCCTTCTCTTTTCCCCTGGTGGCTTCGCCCCAGGCCTCTGCGGACACACAGCCCGTTCCACCCCCCCGTAAAGGCCAGCTCGGTGGGCGCAGGCGAGACGCCATGACCGGCTGGAACCTTCCTGAGTCACGTTCCCCGCCCAGTTCACAAGGGACGTCGTGGCTGCTCCAAGCGCTGGGATCCTGCGATGCAGCAGCAGCAGCAGCGTCACCAGCTTCAGAACGCCATGCCTCTGTTTCGTGTCCCAGTTTCCCCACTGGTCTCAGGAGGTTGAGGGCTGAGGCCTGGATGCCGGACAGACACAAGTGACCACCTGGCCATGGCGATGGCCTGCGAAGGGCCCTGCTTTCCATAAAGCCGTGTTGGGCGGCCCCGGGGGAGGCGCCGTGGTCTACATGTGTGTCACTTCCTCAGGACCCGGGGTGCAGTGAGCGCTGCTTCCCGCCAGGGGGTGCTCTATGCCTGTGTACCGTCTCCCCTCCACGGCCCCCAGGGTGCAGGGAGCACTGAGTCCCACCAGAGGGCGCTCTAGGCGTGCCCACCAGCCGCCTCTCAGGACTTGGGTGTAGGAATCTAGGCGTTCCCACTGGCCTTGCCTCCTCAGGACCCAGGGTGAAGTGAGCCCTGAGTCCCACCACATGTAGCTCTAGATGTGTGCACCTTCCTCTTCAGGATTTGGGTGCAGTTTGCCCTTATTCCCCCCAGGCATTGCTCTAGGCATGGGCTCTGTCCTCCTTGGGACCTGGGGTGCAGTGAGCGGGGCTTCCAACCAGAGGACGTGCTAGGCCTGTGTGCACTGCCCTCCTCTCCTCAGGACGCATGGCATAGAAGACATGCAGAGACCATGTCCTATGGGCTACATGGAGTCACAGTATCCTGAAGCTGAGAAAGTGCACAGGTGAAGTTCTGTCTGACTCCATTGTCAGGAAATGATTGTCAGAGTTGGATTTAGGGCTGCTTCAAATAAAACACAAAATGAGATGAATACCATGGATGTATTATAATAACAACTAGGACCTGAAGTAGAATTAGTATTGAAATATATATTTTTTAATGTTAAGGGTTGTTTGGATAGGTGAGGTGAACTGATTATAATTAAGTGTGGGGAAAAGGTCAGGCTGATAGGGTTAAAATGAGGTAATGAGAAGATAAAACATGAAAATAGGCAATTTTCATGATATTGAATAATTATGAACAGTCATTCCATACTAATTAGTAGGTAAAGGATAATTTCAGATCATACAACTTTTGGAATGTCAAGTCATAGAGCTTTGTATGTTTGTGGGGAGAATAATTTTTAGCAGTGTCAGAAATTCATGCTTTGCAGGTAATGACTGCTGAAGTTATTTGACATAAGAATAATGTCAGGGCTGGGAATGTAGCTTAGTGGTAGAGTGCTTGCCTAACATGCATAAAGCCCTGCGTTTGATTCCTCAGTACTACATAAACAGAAAAAGGTGGAAGTGGTAGAATGCTAGCTTTGAGCACAGAGGCTTGGGGACAGAGTTCAAACCCTGAGTTCAAGACCCAGGACTGGCAACAACAACAAAAAATAATGCCAAACCCACAGCAGCTTCACAGGCTGTCAATGTAAGAATAATAATTGCAATGTGAGAGACAGTAAAAGAAAATGTGTTCAAGATTATAATAGATTGAGAGTAGCAGAGAGACATTAGACTGGAAAATTAAGATGCTTAGTAGAAATGTCACAACCACAATATGTAGATTGAATACAGGTTAGCACACATTGGTGGTTACAAAATTAACACAACTTATGAGTCCATTATGTGCTGTTCTGGATTGTGCTTGCCAGGGCAGGGTGTTTACCTGCATTCCCAACTATGAGCATTAAGTGTCAGTAATGCCTACCCAGCCATGTCTACCTAAATTCCCAGTATCAACTGGGAATCTGCCTGGTTGAGAACCATTCATGACTCTGATGGCTTTGTACGACCTGTAAATACTGCCAGGGGCTTCTGATTGTGTGCAGGTCCTCCATTGCCCTTCCCTAAAGAAGTCACTACCAGGCAGGACCCTATCCTGTTCTTGTTGGGTAACAGTCCCTGTAAGAACCAAGCACCTTGGGGTCACATGTAGCCACGTCAGGTACCCTGGCTGCCTACTCTCTGCCAGAGCTTTTTGTGTAGCCTTGATGTGTAGCTCATTGCAATCTGTGGTCTGGAGCTGAGGAGGGGCCTCTGCACAGACTCCTCCTGGCCTGAAATGATAAACCAATCCAGGAACAGATTCCAGGCTGCCTGTACCCAGGACTGCTGGGTAATATGGCTGTTTGAGTGTTGGCAGCTCCAGAGAGAAGCAAGCAAGCAAGACCCTAGATACGTCCAGGGCATCTCCAGGGGAGAGGAAAAGAAAAGAATGTGTGGAAAGAGCATAACATTTATATGTTATTTCCCTAGGGTTGCTCTGACACACCACTGCAGACTGGGTGGTTTATTGATCTGTTTTCACAGCTCCAAATCCAGCGGCATGGAATCAATGTCTTCTGAGCCACATTCCCTCGGGAGGTACAAGGCACGGTGTGTTTTCAGTCTTAGTTTCTAGACCTGTGATAGCAGAGTGAAGTCTCTACAGAGTATCATCCCTGTGTGCCTTTCTGGGACCCAAAATTTCCCCCTTTAAGGTCACAATAATAGTAGGTTAGGGATGACCCTAACAACAGGAGCTGAAGTTGATCACCTGCCAAGAGCCCATTTCCATGTAAGGTCACATTCATAGGTACCAGATGATGAGAGCGTCCAGATATGAACTTTGGGAACACAACCCATTACAATGTTCCTGCCTCTGCCAGCAGCCTCTACCTCCCTATTTGACCTCCCTATTGATGGGGCTCCTCTGGAGCCCCATCTTCTTCCTGGCACCCAGCAGATCACTGCTGGCCCTGACTGCTGTCCTGAGCTGACACTGAGATAATTCAGTGAGAGCTGGTGTAGGGCAAAGGGTCTCCTAGACTGTTAAGGTTCCAGACTGAGTGAGGAAAACTAAGCCGAGAAATTGATCCTTTACTAAAAACAAAGAGAGGATATGAAGGGAGTCCTTAAAACATATTTCACATGGACTTCTGCCCTATGTCATACTCTGCCCAATTAGAACGGTGCCTGCCGTGCAATGTTGTGCCTCCCACCCCGTGATTGATTGCCTCCTGCTTCAAGGGAGTCGATGCCTCTGTGTGCACATTGTGTATCCTCCTGTAGCTATCTCTGTAATAAAGCTCCTGTAGCAGTCTTTGTAACAGCCCCCAGCTTCAAGGATGTAGGGGCATATGGCGTCATGGTTCCAGAATATACAAACCCCAAGAGTAAGAATATCCTCTTGCTTTGTGTGGGGAGCCCAAATTTGCCTGCCAATTCAAGCCAGAAGGATAAATTAGTTCAAACAGTTCCTAAGAGTCGGACTGTAACCTATTGGCCATAGACATAAACATGCAACCCTTATGTGGTGTTACAATCCCATTGTCCACCTGTGCGTGGCCAGGCTGGACCATGTGGATGTTGCCTTTAAAAACCCTAGCTTGTGGGTTGTTCGGGGTCGCAGTCTGTGCTGTGTCCCTGGCCGGTTAGCTCTCCACTTCCCCAATAAAGTCATCTTTTTACGCGAGGCTGTCTGAGCAGTGGACTCCTTTCCCTGTAACACTGGGTCAGGACTGCCCTGGGGTTTGGACACTACAGTTTGCAGCAGGATCAGACAGGCTAGTCTGTCT